GGCCTCTGGTATGGTCGCAGTCTCCTTTCGATTTATAGAAGTGTCTCTTTGACGAGTTCGTATCTTGGCGCGGAGAATGGCAAAACTGACCGATGATGCCGACTACGATGACGGCGAAACGTTTGAGAATGCATCAAGTCTACTGTCAGATGATGGAAATCAGAACTACTATGGCAGACGATTTCGGACTAGGTGCGTTCTACATGGTCTCCCTGAAAACAAGACCAAGTTGCAACAACAAGGTCAACCCACTTCTATAATTCACTTCACTACTCTTATCCAATCTACTTCAAAAGTAGCATTCTAAAATTCGGAATATACTAAAAATGAGCATAATTCGAGATGAATATGCATTAACAATTCTTGCCAATTTGGGACTTACTGGATGAATTGATGAGGGAGATGGGCTCAGCTGCCGCGAGGCCGCCTGCGGAAGAAGTGAGTCCGGCTGCCTGATGGACCTGATCCCCCGGAGCAGAGGGTATGCCGGTCGGGAAGAGAGGCAGAATGCTGGGGTTGAGTAGATTGGTGCTACCGGATGTGGAGGGTCCGGCGGTGACGTGATGAGTGGAGCTGGAGGAAGTAGGGGAAGTGGAGGAGGCGATGGAGGAGGCGGAAGAGGAGGAGGAGGAGGAGGAGGCAGGGATGGCAATTGTGTTTGCCGGTGAAGACGCAGCGGTTATTGTCGTGAAGGGCGAGGCCGCTGACGGAGTGGACGAAGCAACAGAAGCTGCAACTGACGACTCCAACGAAGAGACCTGTTGGCAGGTGGTTGCGGAGAGGGGACAAAGGAAAAGCTGCATGAGGTGATGTCAAAAGATAATGTCATCCGAACCGGAATAGGCACAAAAAAAGGACAGAAATAACATGATTGTTGAGCTTACTTCCATTTCGAGTGGAAGTGTTGGGTGAAGAGATTGGAAGGTCGCTTTCACCAGAAGACGACGGCGGATTCCTCTTGACCAGCTGTCAATTGGCTTTACTGGAACATTCATGCTGACGCTGTTTCCAAGGCAATCTCGTTCTATTTCGGTGAAAAAGTGCTAAGCTTTCGTCCGTCATGTGACGAACATCATCAGAGCAAGGTGTCATCATCACAACTAAATACAAGCTAACGAGTCAAGAAAAGATCAGAGGCCAAATAAAGAGTATATATACCGCTTTTTAGGGATTTGTGGGTGATTTTTACTGAGTTATTAGCCTGAATTTGGTTGTGATGATGTTCGTCATGTGACCAGCTGTCGATTTGCTTTACTGGAAGATTCATACTGACGCTGTTTCCGAGGCAATCTCATTCGATTCCGATGAAAAGGTGCTTAGCTTTCGTCTTGACTCGTTAGCTTGAATCTATTTGTAGTGATGATACCTTGCTCGGATGATGTTCATCATTTGACGGACGAAAGCTTAGCACCTTTTCACCGGAATCGAAGGAGATTACATCTTGGAAACAACGTCAGCATGAATATTCCAGTAAAGTCAATCGACAGCTGGTCAAGAGAAATCCACCATCGTCTTCTGGTGGAACGGACCATCGAATCTCTTCACCCAACACTTTGACTTAAAATGGAGGTAAGCTCAACAATAATGAAACAAGAGATTCCTCGAAGCCCAACTTTTCTTCGTAGAAGTAACATGGTCAAATGTGAGTCGAGTAAGTCATCAGAATTTTTCGGCGCCTAACTTTACTCGAATTCTCCTCCCGAAGAACACGTTGGCTGGCAGGGATTCGCCATCAGACATTAGCGCAAAGTGACGAAGCAATTGACCAATGCCTTCCAGCCAACAGTTGCGTCAAAACGAAAAGTCGAGTAGCATTAACCGGTTGAGGCACAGGCTTTTCGCCGCCTCCAATCCTCCCGCCAGCAGACGTGCTCGTGTTGCCGCTCGCATCAAGCGCCCTAGGACCGAGTCCCGTCGGTAGATCCGGCCGTGCCGGCAGCCTCGGCAGTCGCTGCATGCACCGTCACATGTGCACAGCCTCGGTGGCAAAGGCCCTCGAGACGGACTGCCGCACAGTTACCCGACTCAGCCCGCGCCAACGCGGAGATGGGCGGAGCTCGGGAGGGGACATTTGGCCCGGATGGCCGAAACAAACGAGTAAGGATGGAGTTGAGGTCGACTTACATGCTGGACGATGAGTTCGGTACCGGCCGAACCGGGACAGTTTGTCTCATTAAATGTTTTGGTCAAGTCAGGCTCGCTATACATGCATGCGTCACTATTCCAGCCGGCCAGTTGCCTAGTGACATCTGCTTCCGTCTCCAGGCTAGCGGGACAATTGTCTTGAGCGTGGTCTGGCTTCATTTCGACGCCGGACTGGTCATCCAGAACGCCCGAAGTGGAGGCAGGAAGGATCGAGGAGGGTGACGACGCGAAGAGAAGCTGGGCCGAGACCGACGTCTCTCGCATGTGAGTTCGTGGTCTTTTGAGCTCCGGCCACCGCGGAGGGGACCGGAGGCTGTCGAACGGGTTCACGGGCTCCGGTCGCTTGGGCAGACTGCCGGTTGTCCTGCAGCTAAATCGACCGTCGAGGATGGACGAAGTCAAGACTGGAGGGGCGAGAGCATTTAGCATGCCCGAGGACGGCAGAAAGCTGATGTCCAGCAGTCGAGGGTAAGGATGTGCTTTTTTCAGCTCTACGAACGGGCAGACAAGAAGCCAGTTTTACTAGACGTGCATAGAGTGGAAGGTACAGAGTCAGGTCCATTGACGAAATACACAAGCAATCACGACCACATTCCGGCCTCGAGCAGTGAGACTGACCGCCAGTTGACTGGCAATTAGGCCTACAATGTACAAGCGTGCATGGTCAACAACCGGTTGCTGTCCAGGCAATCAACAGAACCATATCTTGACCAAGGCGTCTCGGCATTCGGCTCAGCAG